AGATTGTATAATTGATTTAAATTTTTGTTTTAACTTCCGAACGTTTTCATTATTGACAAAATATCTCAAGGATTTCATGCTGTAACATTTAATTGATTTATCATATAGATATATGCAAATTATATATTTGGAAAAAATAATACTAAAAAGTCAGGGAATTTTTTTCATTGAATCTGCTGGATATCATCCTGTTCTTTCCTCGTCTAGAATCTAGATTATCGGATCTTTTGATGTTGTTTGAGCTCTCGCACTTTCTTTCTCTTTCTCTTTTTTGTTTCGTAAAATGTATTGTATATCGATTTGAGAAAAAAAGTCGCGCACGTGACAGATCTATCTCGACAAATCTATCTGAATGCATAAGTCACATACGGATTGCTACGTGGATGTCGAATGCAATCCTGTCACGTCGGCGGATTGAAAATTAATTGCCACGGGTCGACATCGCCCCGGCTGATAATGCTCGTCAACGCGATTTTATATTTTCCCTACAAGTTTAACGGTCGAGCACGGTGCGATAATGAAGCAATCGGGACGTCGCGCGAGCGGTAATCTGACATGGCAATTATAATCGGCACGAAACTCTTATTCGACGACGTCGAAAAGAGAGAGAAAGAGACAGTCGCCTGGGTAATATCTGGGGAAGAGAACGCGCTCGCCTCGTAAATCACTGGACATCGATAAGAGTTGTCGCGGCGTCCGCGCGACGTCCCTCGTTAATAATTGATACAATTAACGGTCATTCATTAGAGCCATTCGCGTATATATACAGGCTCAGAATATGCGGCACTCTCGTATCCGCGTGACGCAATTTACGTCTGACCGATCTCTGTTTTCGCTCGATATTATATACTGCGCACGTGTCTCGTACTACGACGCGCTTATCATTCGATTTCTCGCCCATCCTTCTGTCATCCGCGAACCGATTTAATTTACCGTTTATATCGACGGAGTTACTTCCTCGCTCGCGCACTTGAAAGTTTATTGCTCATCTCTCTTTGAGATGCCGATTGAAAATCTCCGGGCAATTAGCTATCAGTGATAAATATTATATATCACGATCTCTTGCTGCTTCGCAGCATGTCGTTTATGCACTTGACCTGAGAGACACCTGCGGTTCTATTACTCTGGGGCACGGCAATCTCGCGGAATTTTTATCAACATCCTCATAAGATTATTAGGGCTATATGAGAAACCTCGTTTTTCCGGGGAATCGGCGTGAGCGAAGAGATCGTGCTTCATTTCTCTCGTAATAAGAAGATAATTAATTTGATACGCCTCATGGAATGTCGGGCCTTTGGTTTTTTCTATCTTTTCCACATTCGATTGTTGTCGCGAATTTTCTGTCCGGCACCTGCGGCTCTACCGCGAACAAAAGAGAGGGGCATCAATATTAGATGCGACGGGTTTGTTAATTAATTATAGGTATTTCAAATCGATAACGATGTTCCTCGCGGCTTATGCATATGCATCGCGCGGCTTTATGAATTCTTTCTCGCGTGAACAAGTACCCGGTCGTCGCGCACAGTCGAGCATTCACTCTTGTTTTTTCCTTCTTTCTTTCTCTCTCTCGCTTTATCCGATGATCTCTTCACCTTTTTCGCGATCTCACTTTCGCTCGTCGCCCCGTCATCCTTTTTCCGTCGCCGCGCGCGTATGCGGACTAATTAATACGAGCCCATCTGTCCGGCGCAAGGTCCACCTATGCGGGTACCGACCTGACCGCCGCGATATAACGATCCCGTCAAGGCCGAATCACACAACTTCACCGTACAATCTTGTTGAAAGTGTTGAAAACTACCGGTATATTGCCGGGCGCCGAGATTTATGCTCGGCGGGACCGAGATCGAATTTAATTCCCTCAAAAATCGTCGCAATCAATTATAAGATGCTAATCGCGGTGCTTTTAAACGAACAGCATATCAACAGAACTCATTGACCTGCTCTACACGGGCGAATTTTTTATTTATTATTCCTTTAACCTTGATACTCATTTTAATCGCAAAATTTACATCTATATTACAGTTATGCGCATATGTTCGAATTATTAAAAGAGAAGAACGAATTGTTTGATATATGGATGCGCGTGTAATGGATTCGAGCGGCAAAAGTGGGGCAGTGATGCACGCCTGCATTTACGTCATTGACAGCATCCAATTAATTTCGTTGATTTAAAGAGTTGCGTACATTAATCGAGAACTTGGGCAACAAGTACATGTATTTTTTCTCATCGTTTGCTAAAAATTTGGAATTATTTATTACTATTAATTGGACATTATTATTATTATTATCATCTGGAAGACGCGTGATGATGAAGAGATTTTTCTAGATCAAGTTTCAAGTTATTTAGGACGCGAACGGGGTGGTCTTGGGTATTCGCAAAACATATATTCGCGAGTGCAGCCGCCAGACTTTCGGAGCTCAGCATCCGCGAGGCGCGAATCCCTGCACTCATTTACGTTCGTACGTGCGTATCTCGCGCATACATCACGCATTCGTTGATGCAGCATGCATCACGCGTCACGGTGCAGTGGCGCTCGAGTGGAAGAAGCGAAGGGAGAGGAAGAGGAGACAGAGAGAAGAAGCGCGCGTATATACGCGACGATGACGAAGGGAACGAAGAAAAGAGAGTGAAAGGGGAGGCTTCAAGTGGGGGCACCCTTCGTCGCCCGGGCGTTGCTTCCGACTGCGTCGTCCCTGTCGGCTTATAAATAACACCATCTCCCTGTTTCTTCGTGCGTTTCTCAGTTTTTCTTCTGCCTCCGCTTCTTCTTCCTCGGGTCTCCCTCCCGAGCTCGAGATACTCGACCGCCGCTCGCAAGCCTAATTAATAACACGTGATGAGCGATCGTGGCAAAACCTCCCGAGCCGAAAGATCGCGAGCGCGGCAAGAGAGCCGGCGAGAAGATGTAAGGGAGAGAGTGAGTGACGGCTTGGACTAGACGAGGGATTTCATTCGCGAATAGCTATGTCATACGGACAAATGTACTGTTGTTGAAGATCTAGATATCAAAAGGATCGCGAAGCTGTTATTTATATCTCTTGACCAAATTATATTAATTTCCTCTCGCGCAATTAAAAACATGTAAAGGTGGAGTCATACAAAATATCAACTTTTGTTTTATTTTCATCTATAAAAAAAGTGAATTACTTCTTATAACTTGTACAAATTTGTATCGGAATGCGCGATGAGATCGGTGGACCGATGAATGCTGCATCGTGGTAACTAAGTCGTTATTGGTCGGACGAGCAACAAAACCCGTCGGATATAGAGAACACATTGTGTGTAACGTCGGTTGCGAGGAGCGAGAAAGACGTCGTGGCGAATCGCGTCTTCTCGCACCATCTCGCGAGGGAGAGCACCCGGGTGTTCTGCGTTGTGTGTTCGTACTGGACCGATATCATCTTCGCTTTTTTTCTCCCGTTCTGTCTCTGCCTCTCTCTGTCGGCTCCATCCAGCCCTTCCCTCTTCTTCTTCTTCTTCTTCTTCTTCTTTGCTGCCCGCTCGTTGATGAGTAGGGGACCCTGAAGTGTCGAAGACCCGATACATATTCCTTCGACGTCGACGCTCCGTCTTACAATGCGGACGATTGTTCTTCTGGCGATTTCGGTTCTTCGCTGTTCACCGGTAACTTCGATACTGTAAGCGAGAGACTCGGAATAATATACGATACTTTCATAATACAGCAACATACATACTCTATTTTTTTGACAGGAAGGAAGGAGATATTTTTCCTTTTTTTATCCTCGATATTAGCCATGCATCTCGACATCTCGATGGGTGGGATATATATATATATATATAAAACATAAATTTTTCAATAAGTGCATATCCCCATAATCTTCGATTTTATTTCATTCGGAACGCGAATGGCGTTTCCATCTACCGCGTACGAGCAACGAAATGCACTTCGCAGAGACCGATATCTCTCGTACGCTTGTCGCTTGTCCCGATGGTGGTTACGGGTGTTATACCTGTCCCGCTTAAGAGCGTATCCTTCCACGACGAAGAAGTGGAAGGTGATGCTGGGCAGAGACTCCGTAGAGAGAGGAGTCCGTTATCTCGGGGAGCACTCATCGCGGCCGCTTCGTTATCGGCCACGCGGAATCATAATGGACCATAATTGCATAAATATAATGTTAATTAACAATTAAGATTGCCGCTTTGCCTAATTGAATCGCCTCTTTTGCTGCCTCTCGGAGGGAGGGAGAGAGAAGGAAGGACGGGATGACATTGCCGCAACATACGATCTTCTCTTCGCGGTGAGATTGCGTCGGACGGAGGGGAAGGAAGGGGGAGGGAATCTCGGGTGGCCTTTAACGTTAATGGCGTATCGGAAAATTATACCGATGGTCCTGCGTCTTTGATATCGCGTCTCAGACAACAACTATCGCACTTCGACTTCTCGCTTATCGAACTGTATCTAAGCGCGTGGGCGTTTTTTTTTAAACGTCATCCAGGTAAATTTCTCTCTCCGGAAGTACACTGCCGCCCGCAATTTTTGTTTCCTCGAAAACACGAGTTAAATGAAGTAGCCGGTTAGGATAGACACCTCCATGATGGTTTAACCGCGATATCAAGTACCAAGTCGTATATACCGCTCGAATTCCGCGCGAATTCCGACCGAGTTCAGATATGCAATTAGCGGAGTGCAGATGCAATAATAATGAATTCCCGTTAATAACCGTCGCGCCGTCGCGCTGCCGTTCCATCCGCGACGGCGATATTTACCGGAAGAGATAAATGTGGAAGAGCGCGTGAGAGAGGGCGTGCAAATAAAAAGATCGAATCCGGAGAACCGTGACGGTCGATCTGTGCTGCCGGACCGCTGCTGTTGACGATGCAGCAGCGCGTGATTAAATCATGTCTGCTTCATGTTCCTTCTACTCTCCTCTGCCGTCTCCTCTTCTCCCGATCCGAACCAGCCTCCGATGCCTTTTTTTCTGTCTCCCGCGTCCGTCGAATGCATTTTTATTCAATTCTTTTTTTTCTCTCGTTTCAGATGGTTCAAGCGATTCAAGTCCTCCGGTTTCACCTCCTCGAGCTCGAAAAGGTGAGTATTCTTCACGTCTGCATTACAAGGCTTATAATGATTATTATTACCGATCCAATCTGACATGGTACATGTGCGCGATGCATTACTAAACTCCATTTCTTTTCTCTCTATCCAAGTTTATTATTTTATCTCTTTGCATCTATTCCTTTTTATATAATGAATAGATTTTTGTCTAAAATGTTTCGTGCGTATAGTCATATTTGATTTCTAATTTAAAGTAAAAAAAGAAAAATAACGCGATTCTGAAAGTACTTAAAAACTTGGCGTGAAACGTCGCAAGATGCAGTTTTCTACTTAAGACTAGTCTACGACCGACTCGGAAATTCTCGCGATCGGTCGTATTGTAAGAGATTACGGCGCTCGCTCGGCGATAAGTCGTCTTTAACACCTGAAAAACGACTGTTATGACTGCGAGGGCAATTTTCCGTAATTGCAGTGAAAGCTCGGAATTGCTTGGATCTACGGCGCATTACGCCGAGAGTACGACGCGAATTGACTCTAACGTAAGTGGAGTCATTTTGCTATCCAACGCGGTGACGGACGCGTTACCTCGTTCGCAGTCGTTTGCTCTGGAACGGTCTTGTTTCTTGTTTCTCCTCCCTCTTTTTTGTCAGTTGCAGTACACCTCTCTCTTTCTTTTCGAACGGCGAAGCGAAATGACAATACGTGCCGATACTTCACGAGGCTCGCAACCAGTATATAGTCGCCAGAATCATCGCGGCGTGGAGTTATATGGCCGCGCGCGAACGGTGAAAGTGAGACATCTGTCAAGGGAAATTCTGTCGAGATCGGTGCGTTTTTCATCGACGGCGCGAACGAGAGAGCTCGTTTCGCCGCGAAATCTTTCGCTTTTCGCTCGTTGCCATCGTGTTTCACGCGAGAACTTCTCGGGAACGCGTTTCTTTTTCATCGAGTTGCAACGTTGTCGATAAGATACGGAGGAAAGACAAGACCAGGACTCTCTCTTGCTTTCAGCGCAGGGATTTTTCGACATTCCATCTCTCTTTCTTTCTCTTTTTTCCCTTTTCGAACGACTGCGCCCGCGGGATAGGATGGAGGCGGGTCTGGTTTATCCAGGCGCTTTTTGCGGCGATATTTTATCATACAAAATAGCGGACACATCCATCGCATTTCCATCGAAATGGCAGCTGACGTGGCGGCAGCCATTGGCCGTCGCCCGCTCTCGAGACCTCTTCGTGGTCCCTCGTTGCCAGCCGTTCGGCCGGTTTGATCGCGCGCAATTTTATAGCAATTTTCCTCATTTACGGCAATTACATTATTATAATGCCACACCACCTGCGGCGGATTCAACTATCGACTCTTGGATGCGTCACTATCGGCATAGAGTATATGGCATTAGTTCCAGCACAAGATTCATATTTGTCCGTGATGAAAAAATTTATTCAGATTTCATTTTGATAATCGCGACATGAAATGAAATGCACCGTCGTATACCACGTAAAGTAAAATCACAGATGGAATACACAAATTTCACAGCAATTCTACGTGAATGCTCGCGAGGTGGCGTATCTTAAACTGGACGAGGATCATTAAACGAGCGAATAAATCACCGAAACGCGGGCTCTGTGCCTTCGCATTGGCTTATCTGCATCGAGGCAAATGAATTTACTAATTGGAGCTCGCTCCAAATTACAGCTACGTTTCTCAAGTCTATCGCGATAACGTTTATTACTCATTAGTCGTGCCTCTAAATTTGCCCTCGTTAATGGAAGCACACGATTAAAGAAATTAGCGGACGCGCTCCGCGGACGATAACGCAACTGTTGTATTCTTCGTAAGCGCGCTGGAAACGATACTTGCCGCGAATACTCGGTTACTAGTAAACGTGTAAATCGGGCCTCGTCACGTATTCGTCGAGAATCCATCGGAGTCTAGAGACGAAACGCGGCTTGGCACGCCATCGATGGTAACGGAGATTGAAACGTTTCTGGTCCCCGGGGCCTCTTCTAGACAAGACGAGACGAGATGCGAGCGAGCGGTGCGGAATGTAGCTGGCGCGCGATGAAGAAGATTCCATAAATATCTGTGCTCGAAGTGGAGGAGAAGAAGAAAGAGAGAGAGAGAGGAGAGCGAGATGAAGAGAAGGAAAGAGCGGCATAGAGAATGAGAGAGAGAGAGAGAGAGTAAACCAATGGAGGAAGGCTCATGGTAGCCCGCGGTGTTGCGCCTCGTGCATTTAACATTTTCGAACCAATCGCGTATTAGCATAATTACGTTTTGCCGGGGCCCGGTGCGCGGAAGGAAGGTCTGGTCAGGCCCTCTTTTCCCTTCTTTCTCTCTCTCTTTCTCTCTTTTCGTCTTTGCCTTTGCGATATTTTCTGTCGGCACAGCACGGTCTCTTTTCCTCCCTTTCCATCCTTCTCTCGCTTCTCTCTTCTTCCATCGTCTCGCAGGACAAACCGCCTCGCGCGTACACCGGTTGGAGAGCGGTAAATTTCTTATGGGATATTATGGCGTACACAGTGCATACCAACGGGATTCGTACTGGTACAACACGCGGGCGACCTCCTCCTGCCCGCGGACGCGTCGTACGAAACTGGTTCTAAACCTATGCCAGCGCACGTCACGTCGTTCTCTCCTGCTAGAATATCCTTGTGTTTCGAGCACGCGTATATGTATGTACGTGCCTTACGAACTTTTGGACGATAATCTTGTGACTTGACGATTTTAGCCGATATGTTGCGAGAATCAAGTCTTACGTTTCTAAAGTAAAATATGCATTAACAGATATGGATATGTCTTCTAAATTATTATTCAAAGTGTCTAAAATTTATTTGACAAGTAAATTTTGTTCACATTTTACGAAATACGGATTAATTTCTGCACGATAACAAAAAAAAAAAATCCAGAACGGATTTTTGGTCGTAATTGATCGTTATCAATATCACGCGGTGGAAAGGGAAGGAAACGAGAGCCCGATCGTTCGCCACGCACACCCGGTATACAGATATCCTGTGCGTGCCGTAAGGGTGGTCAGGTTGCGAATCGGGCCGCAAGAGAGGGAGACCGGGACAGACACCCCGAAACCTTCATTACCTTCGGCTTCAAAGGAGCCCATTGTGCCGTAAATGGGGTTCCCCGTGTTCCTTCTTTTCTACTCTCTCGCTCGTATGTACCTTGGATCCGCTCCATTCTTCGGCGTTTGCCTTTCCGAGAGTCCGTGAAGAGACAAGGCAGGGCGGAAGGGGCGGATGTAAGATAGGGAGATGGGAAACGCTTTACCCGTTCTTTCCTTCGTTTACGTAAATTTTCGAGCAATTTCGAGGCTGAATGAAAGGAAACACGAGGTCCTCGAGTTCGTATAAATGTCGCGGCACGCAGAATATCCTCTCTCATTTCGCGATAACACCGGCAGCTAAAGAAAAAAAAAGGGAGAATCGTTTAAATGCTCTGAATCGAAAACTGGTTTTGACGTAATCGTTCTTCGTCTTTGAAACAGTATGCAAATACACAGAATAATCACGCAATGTTACAAGTAACAATTTTATTCAAACTAAAAAACCAACAAATTTTTTCAATACACATTTCCGCGAATTCGCATATATAATTTATGTATTTTAAAAAATTAAATGATTATGTAATTTAAAATATTAATATATGTATTTTTTCATATTTTCAAATTGAATAGCATCGAAAATAAGATTACTGAAATTTTGTTGGCGATCTACTAGATATTTTGACCTAGATATACATAAAATTCTGATCTTTCTTTAACTGCGTTCTTGGCAGAAAGTTCTCAAAGGCCAGCTTTAGTGAATGAAATTTAATAAAACAACTCAGCAACAATTTCTCTTTCGCGCATTAAGTTATATATAAAAAGAGATGTCTTTCTAATTTATTTAAAAATTGTTAACAGTAAAATAGAAATAATTTCATTAATATTGCAAAGCATTGTTAAATAGCACTATACATTTTGCTTAATAATATCTCACTTTTTCAAAAATATAAAGATTTTTTTCAATAGTCTGATACTCTTTACAAATAATTGCGTCTAAATGCATTGACGATTTGATGATTGTTTTATTCGCGCGATAGATAACTTAAGAAGCACAGACGAGACCGGAAGGAGACAAGATCGCTCATTGATGTCGAGTAGCTCTCCGTTCTCACTCTAGAACATCGATAGAAATCGCATTACCGCAACCGGTTAAATTTTCGATCGCGGCGTTCGCATTGAAAGTTTAATTCGATCGATGATAAACCTCGTTCTGAAATTGAATCGTAATTTAACTTGCGTTGAATCTTTAAGCAGCCGCACATTCAAATCTCGGGGATTATTTTCGTACGGCATCCAATTACGGACGCGTAGCTCGAAATTTGTTTCGCTCGTCTTCGTTCGCCAGATAACGCCAGACCACTTTGTGTCGTATCGCGCGCCACGAGATATCTCCGGTTCTTTCCCTGAAAAAAAATTGGACCTAACCACGTTGTCCTCTTGCTCTTTCGATGACCGCCAAAAGTGATCTCGGAAAAGGGAGACGCGAGCGATCGAGCGTTTCGTTTTATCGTCTCTCTCTCTACGGCCTCCTTGTATCCTGTATCAGTCTCCCTCCTGAGATCATCGTTCACGGTATAGGATGACGCGAGAGATTCAATGGTAGGATAGATTGCAAAAACTCGCGTGCTCCAAAGCGATCGTATCATATTGCGCATCGTAGTTGAAGTATCCAGCAGCCATCGATCTTATCGAAAAATGTTTCTTCCGATAATTTCGAGATTATCAGCCAACGTCGGTTTCATCTATTGTTCGAATTAATATTAATTTGAAAATTTTATATTTTTTTCTCTAAATCTTTAATTTTTTTATTCTTTTATTTTTCCCCAAAAAAATTATTTACTCCCACACAAGTAATTTTGTTTACATGAAACGCGATAAAATTGCAATATTTAATATATATTTTTTTAAGATTCAGAATGTTATTTATATCAAGACAAGCTGTTGATTTGAAGCGTTAGAGGGGGACTTATAGGCCCTTTTTATTTCTTTTCTTCACTGCATTGTCCCTCGGTTCGACTCGACTCCCGGCGGATCAAATTCTAACCAGTCTGGCATTATAGCCGCTGTCCTTCGGAGTCCTTCGTCTTCTCCCACTCGCCCTCAGAAGTCCCTGTATTAAAAAAAGAGAGTCTAGTCATCTAGAGGAAGGCATTGTATTACGCGCCGCGTCGCGATAATGCATCGGAGGCAAATAGCTCCGGAAAAAAGCTCTGGTGAAAGAAGCGCGATCGAGAAGCATCAGAAGTTACCGCATTATCGGTTCCGATGAGAGGCCTTTTTTTATGAGAGGTAAACGAACGCGACGAATGTCTGTCAATCGATGCGAAATATATATCGTAGTCCTGTAGTGACTTTGCATAAAATTCATAACGATATTATTGATCGTTTCTAATAATACCGTCATTGAATCACCCTTGACGAGTTAGGCGAAAACGACTTAGCAAGCGCGCGCTATCTTATCTAATATGCAAAACGTTTGATTAGAGAACATGTATTCACTATTTATCCGCTATATCGATTACCAAATCTATTTCTCTATTTGCGTCTATCTTTGATGAATGATGCACGATCATTTACGCAACTCGTTTCTTATTATCGAGGTCTCTCGATCGGTCGACGCAAACTCGGTCTTGCTAACATCGCGAAACTTCTCGCATGCGCTTAGCTGATGATAAACACGCATATTGTCCTGTTCGTGTTCTCGATACACGTCACCATTGGACGGTGCCGCCTACGGCAAAGATGGCCGTCTTCTCTATTATATATAAATACCTAATAAGAGCGTTATAAGTGAGCGTTAGAGCGATATGGAGGTAAGCAAGGTAATGCTTGCGAGTTGTAGTAGCCTCGGGAGTGAAAGACGATAGAAGAAGAGAAGGAGAGGGTGTACGCGTTTGCGAGGGAACTGTCGTACACGGCTTCATAATACCTCGACTCGCCGCCGATGATTTACATATAACAAGATAACGATTTTTATTTGCTTTTGCTTATATAATACGTTTATTCTAAGCGGAATCAAGGAGGCGAATCAGGCGGGAAGATAGGGCCGAGGAAAGGGCGAGGGCTGGAGGATGAGTCGACGAGAGGGGGACGGAGAGAGGATCGACTATCCTATAGGCCTGTCAGGCCTCATTTGCATACATAACATTCTGGTCGACTGGACACCGGTCAGACCTCCTCTCCATCCTCCCTTTCTCTCGCTCTCTTTCTCTGTTCGTTCGTTGCATCGGTTTCTCTTCAGCTACCAGATCTCGACCATCTTCCACGGCCTCGAGATGCACGCTCTAGCCTCCTTCTCCTTCATCTTCGTATATATCGATACGCCACGTTCGAGCCTGCTGTTGATCGCGTCTCTTTCTCTCTTCTTTTCTTCATCATGCCTCTCGCGCTATGAAACCGTGAGTCGATTGGATCCATTCGAATCCGTCTATTAATCATTTCCAGCGGCATGGTTAATCAGCTGCCTTCGTTTGGAAAGTATATCTTTCGGAAAACTTATGTTCGTTCTCCGATGGAGTTAAATCTAATTGATTCCCGAATCTTACAACTAACGAACGTTTCAAATAATCTTTTTTTTTTTTTGTATTTCAGGTGCACGAACTCTGTGACAACTTCTGCCATCGATATATAAGCTGCCTGAAGGGCAAGATGCCGATCGATCTTGTGATCGACGACCGAGAAAGCTCGAAGCCACCCGAGCTGGGTAACGGTCTCGACGGCGGCGGACCCAGGAGCACCGCCGACAGCACCAGTCATACAGACGGAGCCAGCACGCCGGACGTCGTGAGTACCTCACCATCGTCAACGTCTTATTATCCGCACGACGCGCTCACCCCCCACCACCACCATCACCATCACCACCACCACCACCATCACCAGAATCAGAATAATAACAATAATAGTAATAATAATCACGCCGGGATCGGCAGTACCGCCACTACCACCCCCCTGCAACTGAGCAACCAAAACCAAAGCCAAAACCACCACCCTGCGCCGCAGTCGAACACCACCACTACTACTGCTATTACCCCAAGTAGCGCCGCCACAACTCCCAACTCCCTAAAGCGTACGCACCAACAGATGATGATGGCAGCCGCGGCGGCATCCGCGATGGCCACCTCGCCGCACGCAGCCGCATCCGCGCCCCCTGCGCACGCGCACGCGCACGCCGCCCTCGCCGCCTACCATAGCATTAGCTCGGCCGTTTATCCGTGCTCGTAATAGACTACGCGACTTCCGTGCCGATTTTGCGAGACCTTTTCTCCTTCTTCTCTGTGTTGTTCTTTCCGCGACATTATTACCTTTCTCTTATTTGCTTATCCTCGTAAATGTTACGTCTTCGTCTTCTTCTTCGTGGTCGCGTTCCGCTACTTTGTCTCATACGTGGATGTCAAAGTTAGTGTCGTCGAGTATTCTTGGTAGAATCGAATCCGCGATTAAGATGATAGAATGTCGCATAGAACATCGCATAGAATGTGTCGTTCCCTCAGGATCGATCGCGTTCGCTCGTGAAGGCTTCGCGATCGATCCTATTCGTCCTGTGAGGGACGAATCGATCCCCCTTTCTCTCTCTCTCTCTCTCTCTTTCTCTCCTCTTACAACATCGGGAACGGTCTGGGTGCTGCGGTAGTTGAATCGTGACTGACAACAGCGAGCCAGATCGAACGGCGCTCTCTGACTCACTTTCGCATAGAGGTCATACACGCGTGGGAGTCTGAACATGCGAGTCCGGGCCCGTGAGAATATGGGCCTGGTGCTCTGTAGAGAGACAGTATCTCTAGTACCTGATCGATGATGAAACGCGGGTACACGTGGGCAGTAGCTCCTGGTGCTCTGTTCTCGTCCTCGTTAATGTCTTCGTTCGACCTTTGCAAAGAAATGGGGTTTACTTGACGTTTCGTGGGATATATTAGATTGTTTACCGTACGCGAGGAAAAGATGACGCGGAGACTCGTATTGTTGGACTGGCGCTACTTGTCGGAACTCTTTATATATATTTTCCGTAAGTGTCTCGTACTGCTTTGCGAGGATTAATGCCGATCTTCTCTTCGGCACTTGACTTGGCTTTGAGTTCGTTCATTCTATCGTCTTGTTTCTTTCTTCGTCTATAAATTATATAATTATTCGAGATTGTAGATTTTATTTCATCGTCGCACTTTTTACATTTATCTTTGTTAAAACGTATCACTCGGTTAAGTTTACCTTGTACAGATTTTGTTGATATTGCGCGTACAAATGGAAAAAAAAATTAGACAGAAAATTGGATGTAGATATTTGCTTTGAAGTCGGAAGAGTTCGCGATGAAGTTGAGATGCATCTCTGGGTTCATCGTCTTCTCAGATCTTTGCCAAGTGCATTTGATTTTTTTCGGGATACTTTCACGTAGCTCTTGCGACGATTAAATTAATTCGCGCGATTATTGAATTAACGCGCGTAATTAATTCGCGCGAATTTTTGCTCGAACGTGTTATGGATCTGACGCGGATTTGATTACGTAAGGTCACGTCCCTGTGGCGCGTAGTAGAAGAAGAATGTTTCTAAATCTGTTTCGAGCCAGACAGGCAGCGGTCGTCCGTTGACATCGACCCTCACACTCTGACATCGATCCGCTTTCAAAACATATTCAGAGATATTCTCGCTCGAAACCGCCTTGGAAACCAGTCGTAATGGGCTATTATCGGTGCGAGAGCGCCGAACGAGAGCTCGCGGCTGGTTCGCAGCCTTATGCAACCAATCGTGCGTTTTGCTCTTCGTGCGGCCGGGACGCGGTCGGCCTCTTTCCATCTGCAGGCCCGGCAGTTATCGGAAATAACGAGATACGCGGTTCGCGCGCGTTCATCGGTAAACCGCTTCGAGAGCATTCGTTTCCATCTCGGAGCTTCTCTCCTCTCTCTTTCTGTCTTTCTTTTTATTATCTTGCAGCCTTCTCTCCTGTCTCTCCTTCAAGGTCTCTCGCGGCACACCACGTACGAGAGATACTTAAAAGAACGGGCATTAGCGAAAGAGGGCGCGTTCGCGACCTTTCCGCGCGACAATCGTCAGCGAAACAGTAGGTTGCCGAGTAGCCTAGAGATAGGGTGGATAGAGACACGCGTGAGAAAAATCGAGGCAGTAGTCTAACTGGTTTGAAAGCGTCTTTTTTCTTGCATCGGATACGGTGATCGAACGTGAGTTGGAGAGAGGATGGGAGGGAGGGAGGGAGGGAGGGAGGGAGGGAGGGGAGAGAGAGAGAGAGAGAGAGAGAAAGAAAAAGAGAGAAAGACAGAGGGAGGGCAAGAGAACAACGCACGCGGGTTACTTCGAATGTCACGCAAACGTCACGAGACCGTATCAGGTGTATAGCGACAGAGAGAAGAGACAGACGGTCAATTAACTGAATTTTATCGCGATGTAGGGAAGACCCTGGGGTGTAAAGAACCCCACGTTGCATTTAATTTAATCTTTCTCTTTTCATTTCGTTTTTTCCTCTTTTTATGTTTTTTTTTCTTTTAATATAAATACCGCGATTATTGACCGCGATTTATTATAACGCGGGGCGCTGTACAGGGGCGAGAGAGAGCACGCCTTTGATAGTCTAACCGGCCTCGATGATGATCGATACTATCGCGCGCGGTAGGCGTGTTTACGACAGGCATTATATCGTCTACGCGGTGTCTACTTTCCTAAGGTAGCTTCTCTTTCGTGGGCGTACACGCGCGCGGGTGATGTCGCAGCGCGCGTCTTCCTACGATCGAAATACGGAGGTAGCAGCCGAGGCCATCGACGTGATCGATTAATGGATTCGCTGAGTTAGATATTAATCGTGATCTGGATATACGTAATAGGATTAAGGCTCATACGCGTCACAAAAAAAAAAAAACAAATTTTGTGTCTATTTTTAAACTGAACGATCCGAGTTAGGGAACGCATGAAAGGTATATAGAGAGCGAATGGGTACGCGAGACAGTGAATAGGATGACGTAATATGTGTGAATCGTGTTTAATAAGCACAAGATAGACTGTAGTGTTTAATTTATTTTAATTTGAGGTTACCGGGAGTTGGCAAGTATACTATTATAAAACATGTAATAATGAGACGGGACGCGAGACAGGAATTACGAGATATATATGACGAGCGAATGTGAGACCGCATTGGACTGCAGAATTTCTTGGAACGTAAAATTGCGGGTGTGCGATCGGGATCGAATTGAGCGAGAGCAGCGAAAACGCAGAGCACAAGGCATATATTCGAGATCGGTCGACGATAAATGCGAGAGCGAAGATGTAACTAAAAGTCGTGCGCAATCGAGTCAGCCAGTTATTGTCACTAGGTCTTCGGTACTCGTAACTAGGGAGTTGTGTGAGGTACTAGTCCTGATCGGCAGGGCGCGCGAGGTCCACCCCCCAATCCCCCGTACTTTAATAACCCTTGTATCTTATATGAGAGAAACAAGAAAAAGAATAATCGAGATTCTCAACTAAAAGCGAGGAGTCGAACTCTTCTGCTGGTGCCCCGCTAGAAGGATTTTTAAGAAATTTGCCGCCTTTTGATATTGATATGATTTTATTTAGGTTCGAAATGTATATATGTATGAGTATATGTATATACAAAAACATACGAATCGCGTTACGTAATCTGAGATGTAACCAAGTGCAACTACGTTTATATGTTACATGTTTATAATATAATAATCGTATATATTAAAAACGTAATTTTTATATTATAAATATACAACGTAGTTTGTATTATAGATATATATATATATATCACATATACATATACTATATATTCATTTCCATCAAATAAAAATATCGCGTGTGTAAAATATATCGTGTATGTCGTTAAATTCACACGAAAATGTATGTATCTATCTCACGACATATATCCGAAAGGATATGTCTTGATGCTTTACTTAGGCGGAAGTAAATCTAAGGAATCCTAAATTTTATACGGTAGATACGTAAAACAGTATATGCAGGGCACCAGATTGAAGGGGGACAACTTTAAAAATTTGAACGCCGATTGAACGCGACGGCGATCTTGTCGTCAAGTTTGCTGTCGCGACTCGGCGTGAACAGTCACAAGATAATGCAAGGGTGTACGGGGGTTGGAAGATGGACTTTGGCACCAGTCGATCGGAACCCTAGTTACGAGTGCCGAACCTAGGGTCGAGAGTATGAACCTCTCGGCTTTTGTTAGATGTTGGAAGAAAAAAATACATATGTTCCGGATAAAGTTATACAAAAAAAAATGAAATGAAAAAGAAAACAAGAATGAATGACAATAGTTACAAGACAAAACGAAAAATCGAAGCGCTTATTTTTGTTTTACGCCACGATAAGGAATTAATCTTTCAAGGGTCGATTATTTCCGCGCGATTTATTTTTAGTTTGTCTAACATCAAATTTCAAATTTATTAATCATATTTCGCTTTGAAAATTGAATTGTTCATTTTATTAAGTCGTTGAATAAAATGCTAATAATTTTTATATAATTTAAGAAATGATTTTAAATTATATGGATAAATTAGTAACAATTTTTATAATTCAAGGATTGATTCGATTTTGAAAAATGCGTTATTATTTATTTTAGCTTATGCGTTTAAATAATCGATTCGTGACGGATAATTTTATTTTCGTGAAGCTATTCGTGTGTTGTGGAAAACTCGTTGCGCATCGACATGAAAAAGAGATCAATTTCGCGATGGCGAAAGATTTTAAAACTATAAAGAACGCAGAGAGAATAACGTGAATACTTAGTGCCATAAGTTGCAGCGTGCGCGTACTCGCGCCGAGACTGTGTA